ACGGGAGCAGAAAGCCTCATCTTTCTCCCGCGGAACAGCTGGTAGTTTCGAACTGCTGACCTTGCAGTTCGCAGCCTGATTCATAACCACTATGCTACCAGAGCTCCTTGACTTTGTGGTTAGCAGTCCAATACTTAACCCACAATGCCACCAGGACACCTTTCTGAAAGATTACAGCCTGAGGAGCACAGCTGTACTCTGAAACACACGAGTTTGCTCTGAATCGGAGTTGCCTTGATGTTAGTGCCTTGGAGTTTTGGTTTTTAATGAATAGGAGTTGCTGGTGGCTCAGGGAGCAAGGAAAGCAAGGAAGAAGAAGAAATCAAGCAAAGCCCCCAGGTTTGTGCTTGAGAAACCTGTTGAACAGCAATAGAAATTTACCATTCTCTCAGGGTCCCTGTGTGGTGGCCCTGATTCGAGCAGCCAATAGTGGTGGTCAGGCCCTATCTTATCTAGTTCTGGTCTCTGGGCAGATGAGGCTGCAGTCAGAATTCATTTAGTAGTCTACCAGTTATTAATTTCTTCTTTGAGTGTTTGACTTCCTTTTTTCTCTTTTGCTCCAGACAAGTAGATACTGATAGCTCTGTCTTAGATGGGGACATGCCAGCTACTCCCCAAATCCTAGACACTACTCCCCAAAGTAGGATGTAGGATATAACTTTTTGAACTGTATTATGCCAATTGACTGAGCTGTCTCATGAGATTAATCCTAATCCTTTAATCCCAGAAACCAATCCTGTGAGGTATTTGGCTATATCTAAGAAGTATCTATAACTGTGCCCCCGCTGTGCTTTTTGGCATATCTGAGTGTATGTATGTATGTACACAAAGTCACATAGATGCATAATATAAATGGCAATTTAAAAACTTGGAGAGCTGGAAATTCAGAGGACAGGTAGTGGAAAAGACGGAATGAGGAACTCTCATCTTCGGTATAATTCAGTGGACTTTTCTAAAACCACGCTACCCACATACGTTCTGATCAACACTCATCTCAGGAACTCTGTGCCCAATAACTGTGGGAAGTTGCATGTGATCAGTGCTCTTGGAGCTCAGTCAAGTCTTTGCCTTTACTGAAGGCTCTGAGAAAACACCCCTAGTTACCTTGTTACACTAACAGTGACTTAACTTTGGGAAACCCTGTTAGAGATTAAACTCTGGCTTCTAAAAATTGACAAGTAGCTGCTGTTGTTTTGTTGTGTTGCTGAGTTGGTTCTGACTCATTGTGTTCCTTTAGGGTTTCCAAGGAGCTACTGGTGGGTTTGAACCACTGACTTTGGGATTAGCAGCCCAGTGCTTATCCTACAGCGCCACACCATGACAGATTGTTGTTGTTGTTGTTAAATGCCGTCGAGTCGGTTCCGACTCTTAGTGACCCTGTACAGGGTTTCCGAGGCTGTAAATCTTTATGGGAGCAGAAAGCCTCATCTTTCTCTGGTGGAACAGCTGGTAGTTTTGAACTGCTGACCTTGCGGTTCGCAGTCTGATTCGTAACCACTACGCTACAGCGCCACACCATGACAGATAGCAACCAAT